ATTTCGTTGAAAAGCTAAAGCAAAAATACCCAAAAATCCATTTCAAAGTTTGATTTTTGATTTTAAACATCACGTAGCTGGGCCGAGAAGCACTCTTTTTTAACAAAAAAATTCAGCCCGATGGGATAACCTTTCAGCCGGAAAGTAAGCAAGGCCAATTGAGGGTAACATTAGCAAAAATACCAGCTTATTAAACCGGAACGTTATAACGCTTAATTCACTTTTTTCAGCAAAATGATAATAACTTTATTAGGAAAGGTAACTTTGTTCAGAACTCCTCACTCCATAAGATTGACTATCTGAAAAAATTTTCAAGTGTCAGAATAAAGAAAAAGATTTTTGAAAGTGTTAGAGCTTACTTTTAGATTAAAGTAATAAACTTTAAAATAGAGTATTGCTATGCCCCAAGTGAACTTATGGACGCAAATGGTTGAGTTCTGGTGGAGTTATGCTGTCATTACTAAAAACAGACTTTAAGATAGTAGATACGTGAGAAACAGAACCTGAGAAAGGATATGACTGGATCTAAATCAAATTCCAATGTCTGTTTCGACGTATATTTATGTGTAAATTGTAAAAACTATGTTTATTTCCAATAGAAATGTGTTATTCAATAGTTCTTGAGACGCACAAATTGAGTCAAAAAAGGCTAAAACATCAGTAGAAATCTTGAAATAACGTTCTAAAACTTTTGATAGTAAAATTCATTGCTTTCACTCTTTGTAGTGGTCCACGTTTTTTGTTGACTCTTTAAATATACGGTTGGTCTGCTAACAGATCTGTCCGAAGCTATCAGAAATTGATCCTTGTAGCCGCCAATATAAGCCAAGAATTTTCCACGTGCGATTGTTAGATTGATAAGCACGGATTTTTCTGTTAAAATACATTCTTTTAATCATAAAAATAACACACAGGAAATATTGCATGATTTAATTCTGGAATTTTCAATCACAACAAAAAGCTACATAACTTCTATTATAAATTAATCCTTTTTTACATCTTGGGCAATTTTGTGTCTCAACGGTCCATTTTTGTAATAGTGGAATTATGCATCTAAATTGGATAACTATTCATTGTATAAAATGTTTTTTAGTCTCAGTGATTGAAATTACCTTTCATGAAATATATGTGTACAAGGAAGAATTTGAAGTGCCTCTCGATGAAAACCAATGGGTTGATCACATATACAATATAAATCCATTTCTTTGAATAAACGATAAGCGGTTTCAGAGGCTATTTTTGCGTCATCTGAACGATTTTCTGATAAATAGCCTATTTCATTTAATAAATAACAACGAGCTTGCAGCAATTTATTGCCAATTGCTTGGGCAGTAGATAAAGCTGTTGATAATACTTCAACGGCCTATAACAATGAAAAAATAGAATTTTTTGACTTTCAAATATGTATAAAATACGAATGGATGAAAACGGTAAGAAATATAGACTTGAAAGACATTGATAGATTCTATAAACAGTTAGATATTATATCATTACGAGATAGTATAAGCAATATTCAATTTGAAGATATCAATATAGAGTCTCTATTGAATTCTGTCTTGAGAAATTATTAAAGATCAATTTAAGGACCATTTTATTACGTTTATTACTCAAAAAAAACAACTAGAAATTATCTTCTGTCTCTTTTAGATAATGACTGTTAAGCTTAGCTAAATTTCTATACTTCATAAAAATCGTCCATCACGTAGCTGATCATGATGATATTAAGTAAGATTTATTTTTATGTTTGTTATTTTTTCGGTCATGCATTGCGTTTGCTTGTGATCAAAGCCATTTAATTGTTGTATGTATATTTGATATAATGAGAAACATCATGTCGTTATAGCACTCAATATACGAAAAAACTAATTTTACCAAAAACATCAAATAATAATCGTATTATTATTATTATTATATATATATATATGATGTGATGGTAGTAGGCGAAATAAATATCATCAAACGAGAAAGATGATGATGTTGCATATTGGATAGACATTATATTGTATTCTATGTAGCATATATTGAGCAGACACCAAAATTATATTAATATGTTAATTTAAAATGCGTCAAACGTCAACAGCAAAAAAATACTTTTTTTAGAATGACACCAACAAGCATCTTATTTTTTTGATGATTAAAAATCATGTTCTCTGTTTCATTTGTGACATACGCAAAATTTTTTGAGACAATGAAGAACATTAACAACAATTTACGAGGGTCTATGGAGACCGGATTAATAACTAGAACTTTGTCTGAGATAATCGAGTTGAAAAAAAACATTAGTAGGAAAAACAGCAACAACATCTATTGTTGAAATAAGTGCTAAAGGTGCAAAAAAGAAGAAGAAAAAAAAACCGATACTATTTTGTTCCCTCTTGCAAAAAAACCTATGCATTATCTTACCGTATGTTTTTGACCTTCTAATTTGATCAATGCTTTTGCTAAACATAACATTGAAAGTGTATAACCATAACGATCACCCATGTCTTGTAACATTGGAAGTGCTGCTTGATATTTTTTACATGCCGTCTTTGAATGAACAAAAGAAGAAAACAGCATTGTGTAGTACACATATTCACTATGGGAGGTCGACTGATAAACAACTAACCATACTATTTAATATTATTTCTTTTTTTCCAGTGCCACAATATTCTTACTATTAATAGACTTACTTCGGCATTATCTTTTGATCGTTGAATATCACCAAGAACAACTAAACATTTGGCTTGAACAGGTCGATCACCAACCGCACTCGCCGAACTCATAGCTTCCTAAATATTAGACAAAACGTACTACAATATTTTTAAATAAGAATAAAAAATTATTATATTGAATTTAAATTAGAAAATATTCAAACTGATTTAAAATACTGAAGAAATTAAATAGTATAAATATCTTTTATTTTAATACTTACTTCTACACATTTTGTTGCTGAATCATAATCTCCTAATAATCGATAAGGAGTAGCTAATTTTAATTTTGTCAATCGTACAAATTTTGTTGCCGTATTAGATGTTTCTTCATTTGAAAATTTTGCATTTGAAATGGCTAATTGTAGTGCTTTTTCTTGATATTTTAATCCTTTTGGAAAATCTTTTAATGCAAGAAATACTTTACCCATCGTATTTAACAATTGTATTTCCATAACATAATCATCGTGTTCACGAGCAATCGATAATGTTTTATCAAGACATTCTAATGTTTTAGAAAAATTACAAATACCAATATAAGCATCGGCCATGGTTAAATATGCATAACCTTGAATACGATCATTTGAACATGCATGTTGAAGAGATGAACGACTATACGAAACAGCTTTGAAATAATCAGCAAGAATTTCATTGGCACGTGCTAAATTTAAATAGGCTTGTGAACGAAATACATTATCGTCAAGTTCATGAGCAATATCTATTTGTTGAACACTATAAACTAAATAATCACGATTTCGTCCACGATCACGACATGCCGATGCAATATAACCGAGTGTGGTAAATCTTAGACGATTATCTTTCATTTTATGAAGAGCTGTTTTCCATTTTTTTATCGCATCTTCATAATTATTTTGTGTATATAAAACAAGACCCTCGTCGACTTGTCGTTTAACCATTCTCTGGCCCATTACAACAGAGAATAATTAATTCCCATACATAAATGAATGGTATAAAAAGAACAATTAATTCTACAAAGATCAAAGATATATTTTTAGAATAATTTTTATATATAGAAACAAAGTTAATTCCTCAATCAGTCTTATTTAAAGATATGTTTTCAGTATGATTCAGGGAAAAAATAAATTATTACTTTCAACTTGATTCAATTCTATCGAATTCTTAAATTTATTTAAAAATTATATATTCTAACAAAAACTATGTAAAATTCAATGTTATTAGAGAGATCATGCAACTTCTTACTAGAAGAGAAAATTTTGCATATTAACTTGTTTTTGTTTTTCGAAAACATTGTGCTAGAATAATTGTGTAAAACTTTTACTTTAACCTGACCGTCTATTCCGAATGATCTACTAATCTATGAAGAGATTTAGAAAAATCTATTATTTTTTCACTTTAATTATCTTACCTAAAAATCGACAATGGTTTAATGATTACTAAATAAATTGTCTTTTCTTTTTCTTTTTTTTTTTGATCGTATTGTGTTGACGTATAGAATGATAACTAGTTTGAAGGTCTATAAATCAATAAGTGAATGAATATAAATACCGAGAGAAAAAGAAAAAAAATTCGATGAGAGAAGAGTTCTTCATTTCATATCGTTTTCTGACGGTTTTTCTTTGTTGGAGACAAAGATTGTTACTTATTATCCTGAAAATAATAATAAAAAGAGAAGAAAAAAACGAAAAAAAAAAAAAAAAAATTGCATTGCTATTATGTTGATGAAGAAGTGTAAAAATGAGGAAGACATATACAAAACACACGCATATTGTATCACCCTATAGTCAAAGATTAAAAAGCAATAACAGGTTCATTATAACATCTATTTATCTATAGAGCATATCAATCCCTATTCTCTTCTTCTTTTTTTTTTTGTCATCTTATTTTCATAAACAAAATATTTATATATATCTGTACCATTTAGTTATATATCGGTAAAAAACATTCATTTTTTTTCTAATTCACATATGTCTTTTTTCATTTGTTTTTCAAATTGTTTCGACTTTTCTCATGGTAGAATGATTTGGTTTATTCTCTCTTTCTCTCTCTCTCTCTCTCTCTCTCTATATATATATATATACTTTGGGCAAAAAATGACTACATGTATAATTTACTTTTAATAATATCTGTCGCTTAAAGGGACGCTTGTTTGAACACTTCATAAATTACTCTGTTTTTGTTTACGGATCATGATTATATATTATTTTTCTCGAGGTAAGAGGTTGACAGTCACCAAGACATTTATCAAGCTAGTTGAATAATAAAAAATATGTTTATAAATTTAAAAAAAGAAAAAAAAAAAAAAAAAATTTTAATATTTTCTAATTTAAAAACATTTGACGTTTACTTCCTCTTCTGCTTTTATTTCTAATAAAAAAAAATAAATTTAAAATCATGATTGTTTGAAACTATATATTCTCTCAAAATAGTCATAGATTATAATATTCTTCGACAAACAATAGAAAAAAAAATATACTAAAATATTTGATAAGAAAAACAGAAGTTTGTTTCATGGTAATCATCATCATTGTAAACTGAAAATCAGTAGTGAAAGAATGTTTTCTCTAGAGATTATTAGAAACTTGTATCAGCTATTAAAAATAAGTATCATAGGAATGTTTGAAAGATTAGATTGTCATCACGTACAGTCATTAATCATTAAACCATAATTTTACAACAAAATTAGAGCTATGTTTTGTCGAAGTTCTAATAGTACTTAATCTATTCATGGTATATATATCCAAATTTATATTTTGTTCGCCAAGTGCTACTCTTTTTCTCTCTTTTTATATATCTGTATCTATATAGTTTTTATCACATTACAAAATTAGATTTTTTTTCATTAATCCTTTTTTTTTTTTTTTCTTAAGTCTAATTCAAAATCTTATGCCAACACAATTGTGATTCAGAACATTAACCTCAAATACTATATCTGATTAGATACATTTTTCGTGAGCTTTTTATTTTTTGATCTGAATCTTTCTTTCTGCACACTCTAAAACTACTCAACATCGATTGTTTGATAATCGATCCTTTTCTTTTTGGATATTTATCCAAAACAGAACGTTTTCTAGTCGTTTATTCCTGAATAAGTTTATGTGACCTTTGTTTGCTCGATCACAAATTTGTTAAGATCATTATGACTATTATTTTTCTACTATTTCATATTGTACATGTCCATGGTCGATACTTTTAACATAATTATGTAAATTTCATTTACATTCTAATTCTTTATTTAATCAATGTGACTTTTTTTCTATGTTTGGTTATATATTCTCAAGAGAGCTTTTTTTTCTCCATTGTTGAACAATATTGAAGAAAAAAAGATATATATATAATTGTTCGATAACATCAGACACAATTACAGTATGTAATATAACTTAACATGTTTTTAATACATCACAATATTATGCTATCATCATCACAAACATGAAAAAGAGAAAATGTTTAAAAGTTTCTGTCTAACATTCTCTCCCCGAGGTATTGTATCTTTTTTATGTCGGTAAATGTGATATTTGCAAAATTTATTGTAAAAAAGGCTTTGACTTCCGATTTATAAAAATGATCGAAATTTATTCTTTGTTTAGTCTATATTGCATATGATTGAATTGTCTCTTCTATGCAATATCCGATAGGTAATTCATGCCGTCGGATGAATTGTTATTCTATCCGTTCAAATTCTATGTAAAAGAACGTTTGACGACAAATATAAAGGAAAGATCAATCGAAAACTTACGTTATACGTTATTAAAAATAACTTTAGAAATCGTTTAATTCTTCCAGTCTGTTGTATAATTAGATGTTTATGCTTTTCAATAAGTGACGTTTATTAATTCGTTCTCTCATTCTAAACATTTCTCTCATATACATTTTTTTCCTATGCATGTCAATTGTATATATAAACACAGAAATCAATTTTCCAAACATTTTTTAGTTAACGTTTCTCCCGTGCTTTTCCCGCCTATTATTTATCCTTCTTTTGATTTCTTTTTTTTATAAAAAAAAAATTTTTTGTTGGATACTTTTTTTGCATTATGTTACTTTATACTTTGGTATTCCTTCTATTTTTGCTTTCTCTCTGATTTTTTTATCGTATCTCAAATAGTATTCTTTTTTTTCTCGTTTCTAAGAATATGAGTTAAGAAGTGTTGATCGTAAGTAAATGTCTATGTATATAGATATTTGTTTTCAATATAGTTGAGAGATGTGAAAGTCTTTCATCTATCCTATATCACTTTTTGTTTTTCACCAATAAACTTTAAAGCAGATTGAGTTTAAAAAAAAAAACGAGCAAAAATAAGAAAAATTAAATAAATAACATATTCAAGTCGTCTGAATTTGACATCAAGCAATTATGAATTCTTCTTTATACAATTATTTGTCTCTTGCTGACTAGTGATATACCGGTAACTGTAAAACATATAATTATTAACTAGACATCTATCTTTGTTTTGCTTTAATTTATCTTCTTCACGCTCATCTCTCTTGTTTTCCTTTTCTAAGTCAGGAAACAACTGCATTTCTAATTGCCATAAATATCCGGATTATTAGTCCTTGAAAATAACTTTCGTTCTTTTTTTTTCTTCTTCTTCTTTTTCTTCCCTAGAATTCTCATATTATACACACGGCTTATTAGAAATATGCCATGCTGATGAATCCAATCTCTGTTTCCGAAATTAACTGTTTCTTGTACAGACACCTGTTACTGTTGTGCAAGAATTCAAATAGTCAGTTATATAATTATCACTATTCTATTATTTAATTTATTCATAATATATAAAATTTAAAAGTTCTCCATCAAATTTTGATAGAAAAATCTCCTTTCGTCTAAATCAGGTACATATTTCTAACGTCTTTCTTCGATTCTCTAATTGTATAAGAAGTTCTGCTCTTTTTCTTTTACTATGGCTACTCTTTCTTCTATTGTTTATCAATAATCGACGTAGAAAACAAATATTTTATAGATTATTAGGCGAGAAAAAAAAGATGAAAAATTCAATTATAAAACAGAGAATACGAGTTTTCTAAACACGAATAGTTCCATCTTAAAAATAAAACATCCATAAATGAATTAGATGAAAAGTGAATGGTTACAAACGACAACCAACAATTTATTTTAAATATAGACTAGACTATTATGGAATATTTCAGGAAATGGATTGAAAATTTCTTGTATCCTATAGAATTTGTCATTTTTTTAATTCTCTACTAGATTTTTGCATAATATTTGTCATTAAAATACCATGAAAAGGTATTATTACTCTAACAATGTTTTTCATTTGATGTCTAAATTATAACCACAATATTTTTCACTTGTCCTATTGATTAGTTTTCATAAACATTCTAGTTTAGATCACAATCATACAAGTTCTTCTTCTCAATGAATTAATTCCAGACAGTTATCGGGTATCTATTATTTTCTTTATCATGCATGATGGATAAATGAAAAAACTATATTTTGATTGAAAACATGAGAATATCTTAACGAAACTAATCAAAATAGTTTAGATTCATTATATTAGATAGAAATCACGATAGACTTCAAACTAATATGAAGAAAACAACGAACAGTTATATAAAAAAAATTTGTTGAATACTTACTTTAAATCTTTCTGTTAATATACTACAACCAAACTTTCAATTAGAATAGCTTAGAATATTATTGATTATTTTGTATTGAAGGACATTGCTCATTTTTGTTTTCTAATTTAAATGAAGATTATGAATAATCAGTAAAAAATTAGAATTTTGGAAAAAGTTTTTCATTTTACAAGGATCAAAAAAATATTAGTTCTCAGTTACAATCATCAGATAAATAGAACGAATATGTACTAGGATATCGTACTGAAACATTAACAATTGTAACAAAAGGATTAAAACTCAGTCATTGATATAATGTAATTAGCTGACAGTTACTTAACGCAACTTTTTATAATAAAATCTCTTGAAGCCCTGACATTTTTACTTGACTAATTGTGTTGATATGCTAGTTAGATTTGCTAGTTAGATAATCAATTTTTGATTATTATCAACACACATATTTCATTTAAAAGAAAATAGAAAGAAATAAAGGTAAACAAAATATAATTTCTATTTATGGTCGAACAATAGCCTCATTTTGTTGTGTCATGATATAAGAATTATTACTTAGATTAAAATGTGGTGTTGATACTTTATTAAAGTCGTCATGATGATGTTCATTAACTTGTACTTCAATTAATAATTGTCGATCTAATTTATCTTTTGTTGTATTTTTTAGTAGATTATTCAATTCAACCGATACTACGGGATAAGTAAAACATAAAAATGGCATTCGATCTAAAGTAATAGAAATAACTCATTAAATCAGATAGCTTATTCAATATATAACCACATGTACCTGCACAATTATTTCGATGATAACATAATTGATCTTGAAATGTACGATCAACAGATAAACAATGACGTGTCCCATTTTTTAAATCTTGACGACCATCACAAAAGCTAACAAAATTGGACATACCCGTTTTCTCTATTGGTGTGACAGATGTACCTAAATAAGAACAAACATAGTTTATTGTAGACAAACTACTAGTAAGAGTCTTTTTTTATAAAGCTTCTCCGTGTAATAAAATAGGTGCAAACAGGGGTTGAAGTTTACACATGGAAAAGCACCACCATAAGTCACAAAAGCAAGGAAAAAGATGCCATATGATGAAAGTGATAAAACTGTGATATGGTATCTTTGCCGATATGCATGAAATGTTCCAGATGTGCATGACATCTATTTTTCGTTTATCCTCTTCTTAACAAAAAAGATGCCATTGAGAAATATTCTAAAACACTTTGATATTCATATGGCATCTTCGATTGAAAGAGATCATTTTATACATCCTCTGGTGGAAGAGTCATGGCGAGATGTGTTTCCGACCGAATTAGAGGCAAGATGATAGAACTGTTTTGTATGACTGTGTACAAGATCACACGTGATAGCTTTAACGTGTAAGAGCAGTTTCACTTTTACGCCCTAAGGTCTACATTGATTGACAAGCGTTTTTCCTATCTCAAGCAAAACTAAGTAGGCGAGAGAATCTAGTTACAGTATCTGTTTACAGGTAAAATAAAGATACGTTTATATGACTGCAAGCAGATTGAAATTGTGTTCCAGCTAGAAATGGGCACTGCAACGACTGATTAATCCGACATTTCTTTTCCACTTAAGGATATTCCTCTCTTTACCAAACTCAATTTTTTAGTTTCATAAATTTTTCTCTCCTTTTCTGTACATTCGAGCTTTTTCTTACGTATAGTCTGATAGAAGAAAGTATTTTCTTCTCAATGAGACGTTTTTCCGAATTTTCTGATGAGTTTTCGTGGAGATATAAGTATCTGGAAAATGCCCTGAAAAAAGTGGCCTGTGTACAAAATGCGTTTTTTCTCGAAAACTACTTTTTTTGCTACCGGGTTCCATTGGACCACAGTACGACTCCCTTAAATTTCATCCGATCGAGTTAAAAATTTTACCAGAGGTACCCAAGGTCATTGTGCAGAGGTATAATTTTGGAATTTTGTTTTAGACGTTTCTTTATCGAGTTATGGGGTTTCCAAAATTTAAAAACATAGTTTTTTTGAAAGTTTTTCGGTATTTTTCCTATAACTCGGTAAAGAAAAGTCTAAAATAAAATTC